AAATTTACAAATGTATAGATTACATTTTAAAAATATTTATTGATTCTAGTACATTTTCTTCTAAAATCTGAGCTGAAATTCCGAATAATGAAATTATACGGATAACATATACAGCTGAATCATATCATAGACAATTATATGATAAATTTTATGTGGCTCATTGTTCATATAGTAATTGATATATTCTTAAAATTACAAAACAAATATATTCAATTTATGAACTCTCCTAAACAAAAAAAATCTAAGGATATCTCACGAAGACATAGTTCTACAATGGAAGAAATATTAAGATGGTGAAAGAGATAGTTTAATTTGAAAAAAAAAGCTAAATATAAAAATCCATTAATTGATTAAATTTACATTTATTTTTATTTATGTTATAATTTATTGATTATTGAAATTCTAAAATGTTTATATAAAGTATTGTTTTGACGCTAATGATGCATCATTTCTAAACCTTTGGTGGTTATTTTTTAAAAACGGAAATAATAACTCGAAAAAAATTAATAGTACTAACCAAAGTAGTTTTGTTCGATGCATTTTCTATATCTACAACTATCACATAATTATGTGATAGTTGTAGATATAATTAAATATAATAGAAATTAATTATAATTAATTTCAAAAGGTGAAAAGTTTTCAGCTCAACATTTTGTTTACGTAACAATTTAACAAAAAAAGGAATGAATTCTTTGAAATTTAAGACATTTTTTTCATCTAACTAGTATATACATATACCAAACCTCTTTTTTAGTAAGTAAACCTTTTCTAATACTCCATTCTATAAAAATATCAACTAACATATTCCAACATATATTTAAAAAAATAAAAAATACACAAGCCACATTATTATAAAACTCCGATTTTTACACTATTATAAATATAATCACTTATTATTATTATTATTATTTATAATTATCATCATGTGATCATTTATATATCTCAAGAAAAAAATAATTCCAAATTATATTAATCACACTTAATAAGTAAAATTTAACTAATATTTTATATTTTTTTATTTTTTTATTTTTTTCGTAAAAACAATAGTATTTGTATTTTTAGAAATAAAAATACTTTTCTTTTAACTGAATAGAATTAGTTTGAAACGATCAAGTTTTATATACCGCATGCATTTTTTTTTTTTTTTTTTTGAGTGTATGTTTTATATTTATTATATGTATTTTAAACTTTACCAAACACACCAAATTCAAGCGTTTAACATTTTATATTCCTAAAAATAACTCAATAATTACTTTATTTTCTACATTAATAAATTTCGGTGGTCATTAAAACCGCACACTTACCGTTTTACCATTTATAACCACACATTTTATATCATTCAATACCACACATATTTATTATATTTTTAAAAAGGGAAATTTGAGAGGTTGATAGTTAAAACCACACACATTTGGTTAATAGTTCCTTAATCAGCTGATACACTTACATTATCTTATTAATAAAGCGTGATAATAAAGTACTTGTGTACCTTTATATGTCAATATAATTTAGTTGATAATTTAATATTACTCGGATGATTAAGTTAACTATCCGAATAAGATTAAACAAATAGTACTTCCAAACAACCTTGTTAACTCCCTCTTCTCAGATTTCATTTTTTCCAATTTCCCAAACTCATTATATTATATACTCATTACATCATTATATTCACTGACGGATCTGCATCTATCCTCTCCTCAGGATTTTCTTTTTTCATACTTTCCATCAATATATTTTTCTCTTCCATTCTCCACCCATCGGCATCTTCATTTACTGCCGAAGCCTACGCCATCATTCACGCACTTCAATTTATTTTTTCTATAAATTCCCAGAAATTTCTAATTGTTTCCAATTCTCAATCATGCCTACTTTCTCTTCAATTTAAGCCCTTGACACGGTATTCGTGCGACACGACCGTGTCATCCTTCAACTCTTCTATTTTTCCACTCATTCTGTTAATAAAATCTCTAACATTTCAACTTTTCTTAACACAGAAAGCCGTCGAATTCCTTTAGGTTCCAAGTCACATTGGTATCCTAGGTAACGAAACAACTGATCGACTAGCCATATCTACCAAAAAAATAACTGTTCCTTCTTTATTAAAAATACCCACGTCTGATTTCCTTCCCATTTTTCACAAAACTAAAAAAAGCATGCATTGACCTTTGATCTTCCCTTACCCCTAACGTCACTACTTGCCACAGATCTTTATCCGCATATATACCTAACTCTCCTTGGTTTCGCGGTCTGGAACTACCCCGATCCACAATCATTTCTCTTTCTCGTCTTCGCTTTGGTCATAATCTTCTCCCTCCTCATTCATTTCTCCTTTCACTAAATTTCTCTCCCCTTTGCACCCTCCGCAACCTCATTACTCTCATAGCTCTCTTCCTTAGGTTACACTTCTCCTGATATAATCCTTCTCCTTAATTCTCGATCTCTCTCCGACATCACTCTTATCATCCATTTTATCTTCAACGCTGGTTTCCGCATTTAAAATACTTATCACGAAATGTTATTATCTAATTAGTATAGCATTAATCATTAAATATATAATACTATTATTTTATTTTATTTGTAATTTTTTTTTTTTCTAAGTATCTAAATTCTAATAATTGTCATAATGCATATTTTATCTAACTCATAATAAGAGTTTTAAGCACCAAAAAATTCAATCAAACAAATCTGCATAAATTCTCCAACTCTTCAAAATAGAAAAGTAATTTTCGATTTTCAACTTAACAGTTTCCAACGACTCTCGGGTGACGTGACAACTTCCACCAAATAAACAATTATATCAGCAATGATAATTTTAGTGTTTACATAAACTTAGAACCAATAAATCGAAAAGTACTCTCCAAATTTCAAGCCTCTCCCACGAATATTTGTACCCATAGTAGTATACGTAATAACGTAATAATTAATAAATGATATAAAATCGGTGAACAGTAGTATTAAAAAATCTAATCGGTTTCGAAAGTTTTCTTTTAAAGCTTTTCTAGATAATGTAAACTTTAAATTTGTTTTCTTTTTTTTTTTTTTTGTTATCTCGAACCATTTATACTAATTTTTGTTTCTCTTTATTGAGATAAACTTTAATACTTGTATTTTATATACATTGAAAGCTTTTGACTACATTTGTTTCCCATTTATTTTCAAACTTCGTGATACGTCTCCACCCATCAATTATTTGTAATATAAATACTATAAAGATAAAATTACCACTTAGGTAGAAAAAATCCCCACGACTTTCGACTCTAACTATTTTTTGAGGTACTAGCTCGTTATTAATTAAAACCCCTTATTAATTTTTACTGAATATATATATAAACCCCTGACCAACACACGTCTACTAATACTCAAGCAATGGATATACCAACGATAGCATTTAAACGTCTTGCTTACTTGATACAATAAATAACATACGAAAAAAAACTAAAACAAATTACTTTATACTAAATTTACCTCAAGCAAAATAAAAACTCCTTCATAAAAACATATGAAATCCAAAAATTTAAGTGTTATTTTTAGATTCTTCTTACAGCCATTTACGTCCATTCACGCGTTTACGCGTAAACTAATCGTAAATCAGCACTCTAAGAATCCTCAATCCCAATTTTAATTAATAAAAAAACTACAACTAACCTATACTCAAAATAAACATTATAAATATTTGTTTTTTAGGCCGGTTGAACTTTGAAATACTACCAAAATGTCTAATAATAAAAATATTCTAACTTTAAAATCAAAGATCCATTGGCATATACTAAATTTTTCCGTACATCTCAAAAGAAACAATTCATAATTAATTCCATATTTAATCAGTCATACCAACAATCAAAAGCCACAATAAAATTATTAAAAAAAAATTAATTACACCATTTGAGTTTTTTCATTAATACAACCAGACAAATATAAAATTGAATACAAAATAATAACAATAAAATATAACCGCCTTAAGAGAACATGATTAATAAGAAAAAAGTAAGAATCATTTTCGCCTATAAATAAATGCAAACAGTGATAGTGTAATCAACGGTTAGTTTACCTTCAGGTTAATTCGTTTAAATGTAAATAAAAGTTTAAATTAAATTATTTATTATAGTAAATACACTTTTAGCAGGGACTATATTTTTTCTAAACAAAAATAAATTAAATAAAAAGGTTAATAATGTTACTGGCACCCACGTACTTAGTTATTAATAAAACATATTTTTGTTGAAAAAATATATGATCACAATTTTACCTGCTTTATTAGATGTCAAATAATGACTTTTTCTACATGAGCAGATATTTCATATTTATTTCGACACTCTGTTTTAAAATGTGTTTCTATGATTCGTACATTTTTATTGCGGCATAATTAATAGTAATCATGAAAAATATTGACTTAGTAATGATTAAATAGAATTAGATAATAATATTGTTAATAGCAATAATGCTTTTTTCTTTAAATATTTACCTATGTAGACAATAAATTATAATTTAGACAGCTAACAATATGTTTTTAATTGAGTAATCTTATTTACTGTCAAGTTAGGATAATGCCTGTTGATAAATTCAATATAAATGGATATATTTTTTTTTTAATCAACCCATTTTTTTAATGAGTAGTCCCCAATTACTATAACGATTTTGACGCATAATAAAATCCACAATGTGACGTACGTCATATGAAACAATGTATTTTCATTGCTAGCGCGATTGAAGCTGTGAAAATGTAAATCCACGTCATACAGCGGTTTTGCGAGTAAAGGCTACTTTACTGTGACAGGAACCAAGGTAACAAAGCTTTGATAAAAGTTTTAAGTATATGTCAATTTAATACAATTTAAAGTAGCATATGTTGTCAAATGAAACAAGCAGAGAAATCATTTTATAGCTTAATGTTAAAAAATGATTTTCAATTATATTGTGTTTTATACAAGTATCTTTTATACGATATATACTGTTAAATCTTATTAAAACCTAGGGATAATGCGATTACAAAAATGTCTAACCTGAAAACATTGGCATTGTTAATTCAGGATGTATTTGAGCAAGTTGCTGCGACAAACTGAATTGCGATTGGCAAAAGGTAGAGCACAAAAGTACATCAACCAACTCGGCATTTTTTTCATTATCAAAGGTATCAGATTTCTCGCGTCCATCACCTGAAAATAATAAAATATTTTATAATTTGTATACATGGTTGGTGGTAATGTTTATATGTTTAATTTATGCATACATAGTACATACATTTTTATATTTTAAGATTATTATTTTTGTACAAAATCAAAATCAATTTTGTTACAAAAATATACACCGAAATTAATTTCATTGCATTTCATTATTTTTAGTTGAAATCTAAAAATAAATTTGAAAAAAAACATAACTAAAAATTACTACCTCTGTTTGGTTTTATTTACAACAAATTTGTTGCTTTATATACAATACATATGAAACTTTTAAATTATCACAGATAAAGTGATTTTGAAAAGCAATTTTCAAAAAGTGACGTATCTTTAAGACTCGTTAATCAAAGATAAAATTAAAACTCAAACAATAAATAAATGAAAGGGGTATAGTAAAAGTAAAATAATACGTGTGAGACACAATTGTTATTTGAATTCTCTAAATATAAATATTTTATACGTGTACAGGTTAGAACAAAATATTATTGGTACCATATAAATAGGTATAATAAATAACCCATACCAAACATTCTATAATTTTTACCGCATATGATAAAATACGCACATAATAAGTCACAAGTTTCTCATTATACCTATACAATTAAAATTTGTACTTATTTCGCATCTCAGTACAGATTGTAAATAACTTATTATAATAAACAATTTTTAAAAATGTCACAAGTTACGATATTTGACATATTAATATCAAAATATGAAATTTTGATATAATGGAAGTTTGTTGGTTGTTTTTCATTGTTGTATTGGCAGTGTATTGTCATTGGTTGCGCGTAAAAATGTATTATTCTACTTCCATGTCCATTTGACATTAAATATAAACAAGATTTGAGAATTCTGGGGGATTACAATTTTTACGAGCTATACCTATACAATGTGTTACAGATATATTATGAATTAAATTTTTAAGAAGTGAACTTTAGTTCAAATCGAACAAAATACGTAAAAATTACATGGAACATTACATATTTTTTATGACCTATGTTAGACATTTTGTATCAAATAATTATCTTATATAATTTAATTAAATTTCGATCGCACGAAGATGGCCCAAAATGTTATTTGAGATCAATAAATTTCAATTAAATGCTACAAATTAAGTACTACGAGAAAAGTAATCAGAGTTCTTAGTCCTGTCCAAGTTCTTCGTCAAAAGTATTTTCATTTACCAATTAACAAACATTACATTTTTTTTTTTTTTTTAATTTATCATACTTCATAAATACATATCAATATATAATTGTATAATCGATGCTACTAGCAATCACAAACGTTATGTATACAACGATTTGTTAAAAAAACGGTATACAGTAATATATTTTTACTAATTTATTTGTTTATTATACAGTTCAGACTGTAAAATTATATCGCTGGGCTTACTTTCTACAGAAAAAAACTCTCTAAATTGAACCACATATTATTACACTTTTAAGATATAATATTTTAATTTCATATCATGAAGTGAAAAATTGTTCTGAAAATTATGGTAAGAAGTAAGTATACATAAAAATCGAATATCGAACTGGTAGTCAATCATTTATAAGTAAATATAAGATAAACGGAAGACATATTTAGCACGGCAAATACCTGTACAAGTGCAGCGTTCTGCCTATATTTGACAGCTGAAAAAAAATTATTGTTACTAAACTAACTATTTAATGTTCCAATCTTTTACATTGTAAAGTTACATTAGAATTTATTTTTATTTTTTTAACGCATTATATAAACCGACACAAACGAGTGCAGTCTAACGGCATAACCACCACCAATGGGCCACTGGCAGTGGCACACACTCAAAAATAAATAGGAGTAGCATATTGAATGTAAAAATACCACCCACTCATCAACAAACACTTTCAAAAACAGACCAGCGGGGCTTGCTCCTATACCCTCTTAAATATAATTTTATAATCTAATTAATAATTATAACTATAAAATATATATTTTTTTTTATTAAAAAAAAAAAATCTACAATATTAATAACATGTTATATAAGATATTCACTATTTTATTTTTTTTTTGTTTAATCTTCAACTTAATCAACTTAATATTAAAGTATTGAATATTAATTTAAATAAAGTACAGGTTCTCGGCTAATTATTAAATATAATTATATTTTAATATACATGTTATGGGCAATGTAGATATTCGGGGCATAATATACATTACCCGGACATGACGCTCATTTTTGGGCGATTTGATAATTATTCAAGTATTTTTTATATTGTCCGGGCATTATACAGAATGGCCAATTTATCAAGGGTAATATGAACTTAAAATAATATTACCATATTTTATGTTTACTAAAATACCAATTGAACTAACAGACCGATTTATTAAGGTATAATAATAATCCGAATTAATTCAATAACAATTCTCATATTTTTGATTATGAATATAAATATATTAAATTATAAAAGTAAGAAAATAGTGAATTAATTCAATTATTTTTAAACTTTAAGTTAGGTTTTTTATCATAAAATACACATTTGTCATTATTTTTTATTTATTTTTTTTAATTCGTCCATTTTTTATTTTTATTTATATACATAATTATGTATTAATTATGTATCATCGACGTAAAAATGTATAACATATATTTTTCATAAATTCTTATCTATTTATTTCATTATTTTTACATTTTTTTCATTTCTGTTTTTATAAATATTTCCTTACTTTTGAACTTAAGATTCTGTAGTTTGCAATTTTACAAACGTTTCGATTCGGACTTTTTTTCATACACCTGAACTGAAAGTAAATGAAATTAATTTATTAAAGATTTATTTTGATAAATGTAATGATAATATGTTTGAAATTGAAACATCAGAAGGCCGCCTTCCCAATTAATATAGCTGTAATCATCAATCAATTTACAATATGTAAGGAGGAATCCTTGATTCAAGTTGAAAACATGCCACAATTAAATATAACTTAGTAGGTAGTGGCAGAGTAGGAATCAAACTTGAGTGGCCATGGATATGATCGATGTTCATGCTTACAATAATGCAAATGTAAAGCTGCAGGATGCCTTTGTATATCAAAATGCCATGGTGCCATGGTAGTAATCAATGTTGTAATAAATAATAATAAAATATAAAATACTTTTTTTTTTTTTTAAATTTTTAATTAATAATCATATTTATAATTTATATAATAACTGTTTTACTAGTTTCTAATTATCTTAACATAAAATACAAAATATTGCATGTTTCATATTGCCTGTTAGATTAAGATCATTGTATAGAATACCTAATTTTCTACATTACCCGTAATATATATAATACAAATGTTTACTATCACTGAGCATCACTATCATTGAATCTCGTAGGATAACACATATATAAGTATAATGTATAGCTTTGCGCGATCGCTGGTAAACAGGACATTTTTCAAATAAGTTACGGTAGGGTAATTATTACGAAAAATAAATACAAATGTGGGTACATGATATAGGGTACGACGTGTCAACGGAGCTTCGATGAACATTAGTGCATTAGATGATTCGTTTCCTGTAAATAAAATGATTACACACACAGCACGCGCAATCGTGTCGTATATACTGTGTACGCGAACGCAAACGCATATAATAGTCACAGGCAAAATTCCTAAAGTGCGTCAACATTCTTGCGGCAGCCGGCAGACGCTAGAGTCGCATGAACCGTCCAGTTGGTAAACAATATAGACACAGTTTCTCGCGCGTTCGTATACATCTATGATTTATTTCGCCACGTCAAAAATACTTGTCAGTGTCACGGAAGACGAAAAACTTATGGAAATGGAATCCGAATTCGGTTTCCTGTTAATTTGAGCTAATTCAATCCACGAAAATTAGCCGATCAAGGGACAATAGCTGGGAAAGGGATAGCTGGACAAGTCAAAATAATCATATTGAATTCTCAATTAAAATGTATACCACGTATAATAATATTAATGTATTTTTGAATCGAACTTAAAATTGGCCAACACCCACTACCTCCAACTACCTTCCAATGACACAATTGACGGGTCATACGAATCGCACCGGCGTGCGTTCGATACACGCGTCATAGGTATCGTACGTTTACAGCTGTTTCGCGTAACTGACCCAGCAATGACCCATTTGAGTTTATTCGCGTACCTGCTAGCTGCTCTGTGCAGTCACCGACAGTAGCGTATATGTGTCTGAACCGCGTGCCCGGCCACCCCGTAAAACTCGCTTACACGCTTGCGGTAGGTAATACAATATAATAAAATGTTATCGCCACACGTTGTATACAATGATGACAATGAACGATTGACTCAAAAATGGCATAACGCACGCAGTATTATGCATAATAATATACATACAGACTGAAAATGTACCTACTTACGTTTACTTACCCATGTATTACCGTTATTAATGCTTTGTGCGCGGTGCAGTTGATGGATTAACGTGTAAAACGGCAGACAAACTCGCACACGAGAAAATAATAACAATTTGGCCTAGTAATAATAATAATAACAAAAACAATAATAATAATAATAACAATAATAATGATAAAAATTGAACGTGAGCGGTAAACGCCGCAAAAAGCGTATAACAGAGAGCGAATCCGTCAGTGCGGTAAGGACAAATGTCAGCCTCACTCCTTTCCAGAAGTTATATTTTATAGCAAGTGAATATATTACGAACTTAAAGTATCAAAAAAAAAAAATTCTAAGTTAAAACCAACAATTGAATACAGAGGAAAATTTTCACCGGTCCCAATATTTATTTGTTCAATGTAATTCGGGTGTTAAAATGCTGATCGGATTTGTACAAAATCGCACAAATAGGGCAGTACTGCTAATTAATGACCTAATTTGATATATTTTTTTTTAATCAATAATGACGACGCTGGGGAAACGCACTCTGTGTATAGTAGCTGACAGAGCAGCGTATTTACTATAGAGAACTTGGAAAAGTGCACGACTTTGACTTCTCTAGGACACATAGTTCAGCACTA